GTCGCCGGCTACTCTGGTCACTATAACAGTCAATCAAGGAGAGTGTTGAAGAAAATCTTTAATTAATTAATTGATTAATTAATTGTATTAATTAATTGATTGTATTAATTAATTGATTGTATGTCGCCGGCTACTCTGGTCACTATAACAGTCAATCAAGGAGAGTGTTGAAGAAAATCTTTAATTAATTAATTGATTAATTAATTGTATTAATTAATTGATTGTATTAATTAATTGATTGTATGTCGCCGGCTACTCTGGTCACTAGAGCTGTCAATCAAGGAGAGTGTTGAAGAAAATCTTCTCTGTAGAAAGCTTTTGTCAGGTGCAAAAAAAATCTTATGATTGACACACGAGCTGGAAAAGCGTGTAAAAGGGAATGAGGAATAGCTACGACTGAAATACACATTTCGAGAATTTCGCCTTTTTTGCAATAAACGCCTAAATTGGCAGGTAATGAGAGCAAAAAATACATCATTCCAGGCCGATTAAATCATCAGGATTGATTTCCATATTCTCAAAACTAAAGTGAAAAATAAGACCGGGAGTCACAAAGCAACTCAATGCTGTCAAAAGGATGACTAACGTCATTAAAGGAAAGTCGAACGCCTTGATTTTGCAAACAACTAAGAAGGGGCGACGCATTTCCTTAAAAACATTCTGTTCAATTAAATGCAGTTCCTTCCTCTTCAGGTGAAGGAGAGGGAGAGGAAGTAGAAAATTCTCTTTATCGCCAGGCGAAGCTGTCTTCGCGGCTAAATGACGCCGAATACTTTGGTTTAGGCGCAAGTATGGTCGTGCTTTTGATAGTTGGTTGCGTGTTTCAAGCGTTTACGCTGTTCGTTTTGACGCGTCCGGCTTTGAAGCAATTCGATCTGTTACCATATTTTCACAACATCATAATCGCGAACAGCGTTGTGATATTAGTTGATTTCCCACCGATTATCGCGTCCGCTTGGGCACAGCGAAACATGCTTGGAGAGATATAATGCCAGGTAATTTCAATTATTGTTAAAGGAAAAACGAACCAAAATCTTCAGCATATAACAGATACTGAAAGGCACGCTAAAGTAAGAAATGAAGATAAAAAAAAAAAAAACATGAAACAATCAATTTTGATTTTATGTCTAAATCTCGGAATCGTGTGGGATTTTTTACTCATATGGTGCATGGTCATTTCCATTGATTAAGATCAATATATTTAGATAGATAGTGGCAATTCACTCATTTCCCTTGCCCTTAAATCTTCTTTTTTCTTTTTTCATACCTTGGCGTTAATGCCCATGGCGGGAACAGTTGTTGAAGGACAGCCCAAGAAATTACGTTTTTGCGCGGGTTTGAAATTTCCTTCTCTGAGTCTTGAAATGGAAAACACCGACTTTCAAAACTTTTGTGTGAATACGAGCCCGTAAGAGGTAAAAACATTAACTCAGTATACCGTTTTGTCAAATAGACACCGTAGAAAACGACATGTAAGAGGTTGACTTTTCCAAGGAAGTTTACAAGGTCGACTTGTCATCGTGATTTCCTGGTCAATATTAAAGTGTACCTATGCATTATAACGAACTTTATCTTCAGCAAAGAATCACTCATTTGAGCAACAAATTAGTCTTAGTCGTACAGGCACAAGAATACATATCTTTCTCAATTGACATGTAGCCTTGGTGTGAAGTAAGTCGTGATAGAGACTTAATCATTTTAAATGCATCGGTAGAAAGATGAAGTCTTCGCCACACAACCTTCCAAGTTACGAAAATGAAAAAAAAGTTTCGAATTACCACTGAAAACGATGTTATGGTATGCTAGTAAAAATAACTTGAAATGTTTTTACGAGGCAAAGATCCGTCTCGTTTGTACGTGAGACTTTTTTCTCTAAGGAGGTCACTCTACTGAGACCACGTGGTTAAGAGCCGTCTGTGTGAGTAGTCAGTTCTGGAGAAGTAGTGTGGCGGGAGGGTTACTTTCACAGTACTATTCGCACTTTACTGAAATGACTGGGTATCGAAAGTATTTTCATGGCCAGCTGAAATAAAAGCGTTCAGCAAGAATGAGGATTTCTACATGTATTCCAAGGAGTGAGAATGAAGTAAGTTCTCGCCAGTTCCTTCATGTCAGGACGGCTGAATTGATCGTGTAGTCTGACCGTCCGGGTGAGAGTAGTCCTAAGAAGGATTGTTGTCGGTAGTAGTGACTGACATTTCGTCAACCCTAGCGGAAGACATGGTCAGAGTAGCGTGGAGGGGTGGGTTGTTGAGGTATCAGCCAACTGTTCCTTTTAATAATCGATTCAGCTGAGATTTTCTTCAATTTCAGATCGTAGGTTTCCTGTCGTGGCTCGGATATATCTCGACCATTGCTACATTCGTGTTGACTCTCCTCAAAACCCATCGTAAGCTAAGGGACGACGCCATGGAATTTGAGATAGCATTTGCCGAACGCTATGCGTGGGAACGTCACAATGTCATTAAGACCCTGACAGGAACCTGGTTGTACGGCATCGCAGTGATGTTCCCTCCGATGGTGACCTGGGGATCATTCCATTTCGAATCGGGGGATACAGTGTGTGCTCTGAGTTGGCAGGAAGAAACATCGGCTGGACGTATCTTCGTGGTCCTACTGATCCTTTTGGTATTCGTGATTCCTCTGAGTTTTTCAATAGCCTACTCAGTCGGCAAGATATACAACAAGTTATCGCAGGATAGAGGAGATGACGGAATGTCATGGAGAGCGAGGGAGAAGGCGAGGAAAGCGGTCGTTATAATTTGGATCGGCGTAACAATCTTCCCGGTTAGCTGGATGCCCTACTGCGTATGCGCCATGATGGCTATGTTCGGTGGCTCGAAGACGTATAATCCACAGATTTCGTTCATTCCTGGCATTGTCCCTAAAGCCAGTGCTGTATTCAACCCGTCATTCTGCTTGCTTGCTGGTACACGGTAAGAAGGGTAAGAATCGTGGCACTTGCAAATTGAATATCAGTAGACTTTTTTGCGTATGATTACGCAAATATATTGCTCCGTCATCCTCCATCTTTTAGCCAAATTATTTGTTGCTAACTTCATTTTTTACCCGCAAATTTAAAGACTCTGTTTGCTCTGTTTAGAACTTTCATTCGAGATAACATTACGTATCGCGCCGGAACCGAATCGGCCTTCATGAATGAAGGCTCCCTGCTAACCTGTTAATAACCCTCTCGTTTTCTTGTTGTTGTTGTTATTGTTGTTTGCTAGTGTTCTTTCTCTGTCTTTTTTTTTTTTTTTGGTTGTTTTGTTTACAGTATTGGGTTTATTTCCTATGATTAAACCGGTCATAGTACAATTACGATACACTTTCTAACAAATGTAACATCACATAACTTCTAACTAATTGAAATTAAAGAAGCAGTTTCCATAGGAACGTAACTAAAGAGACGTCTTTCTCACTATGATTCATTAGAGCATTCCTGAAGAGGTTCACAGTTCATCACTGTTTCCCATTTTTGTAACCCTTTGTTTGTTACTTTCTTGCAGATTTCGAAACGTCACTTTAAAGCTGATCTGTGTGTGCCGTAAGATAGAGGAAGATGAAGAAGATGAGGAGGAGATTGATGATCTGTCGCAAGGAAGACAGCTGCGTCCTTCCGCTCTGATGCAGCGCAGCCTGCAAGGGGAACTGAGCCGTATGCGACGCATGCGCCGCTATCAGCAGACTCGGACAGAGGCGCGGCAACTGCGAATAAACGGGCCTTAAATCCCAGCAGAGAATCTGGAAACGTCCGTTTAGGAAGACTGTTCGACTTTATGACCTAGATTTAGATTGTTGAAGACAAATTTTTGGCAAAATACTTTTATATAAACATGCCATGTTTACCCGGGAAAGCCTCATTTTACTATTTGTATAAGCGACTAGGATAACGCTACTATTAAAACCAAGGGCAGTTTAATTTCCTCACGACTGGAAAAGTTTCAAACTACCAGTGTCGCGAAACGGTTATGGCTTCTATCGCTTGTTTTTTTTTTTTTTTTTTTTTTTTTTTTTTTTTTTTCTTCCTTTTTTTCTTGGTTTAACTTCGAAAATTGCAGACTCGGTCTATTGAAATGAAAGAGAGAGAACCTCAATGAGAGCCTCCGTCTAAAGATCAGAACTGTAAACAGTGGTGGCAAAGCATGTCTTCTTCACTAAAAATCGTTGACGGTGTTGCTTTTTAGAATTCACTGGTGTAACATAGTTAAACGTTGCATGCATAACAGTTTAGCTAGCTAGCTATGGGGTAACACTCTCCTTTAAAATTCGTTTATAAGTGATAGCGTTCTATTTAATGGTTTTATGAATGGCCTCTTTTTCGCCTTAATATACCAGCAGCTTTTTTTTTAACAGCCAGTGACAAAGTATTTTCTATGTAATTCATATATCATGTCATTTTAACTCTGCAGATAAACTAGACAAGACATTTTCTATGTAATATTTATATCATGTCATTTTAGCTCTGAAGAGAGAGATTTCAGACGAGACATTTTCTATGTGATATTTATATCATGCCATTTTAGCTCTGTAGATAGATTTAGAAAAGGCATTTTCATCGCCTGAAGAAGACTAGCAGTATACAGTCGAAACGTCGCGATCCACATTCCAAGTGACCACATCGTGAGACAAACTAATAACTCTCTCTTTTAAAGGAATTTTTTATGTAATATTTGTATCATGTAATTTTCCTCTGCAGATAAACTCAGACAACTTGGAACGCCGACATCACTTGCACTTGTTTTTGTTTTTTTTTAAAGGCGTCAATGAAAGATTATTATTTCTTAAATTGCATATGAACTTTAAAGATGAAAAATAAAAACATTAGAAGTTCTTCTCTCTTTAAATAAATAGAATCTATAAGCCTTTGACCTCAACTCGGAATTGTTGCACGCATGCATTCACGCGCAGCACTTTGCGAGAGCAGATCTACGCTAAAAAATCTCTTGTTGAGTATCAGAGGATGACAAGTATCAGACAACTAAATAAAAACTGTCTGATGGTTGTGGCTTCATTATGGCATCGTGTTTTGAACGAGACGTTTGGCTTTCACTACCGTGACATTTCGAGGGACTCTAACCCTAATGTTTCACCTTAACTTTTAACTCATGACGCACCAATTCTTCAAAACACAAAATTCACAATTTGCAATGACTTATACTGGCATAAATGCAGCTGATAGCTCTTAGCTTAAGTAATGGAAATTGGGCTTACCTGCGTATAACGTTTGCATGGAGGTTTGGAACAATGATTTGGTACCATTGCGGTATAAAAATTGTTGAAGGTGTAGTTACTACTTTCCTTATACCAGAGCTTTACTCTATCAGCAGGGTTTTGAAGCTTTGTCCACTCTCGGGCAAGATTCTGCCCTAAAAACAAACGGAAAAGACTTTAAATCATTCTTGTTAACTCTCTTTAGGCGACGCCTATGAAACAGTGCGCAAACGCTGGCTAAGTTTATAGTATAATAATTGCTTTAAGAATGAAAAGTAGAACTGACATACTTCAAACTTGTGCTTCAAATTCTGCGATAGAACGACATTCCTAGTCTCGAGCAAAACGGAGAGGTATAAACAGTGCTACTATCTCAGTACAGTAACGTAAAACTGTAGACATTTATTGGAAAAAAGTGTCCATTCAGTTGCGTAAACGGAGTAGAAATATAAAAGAAAGATATGAGGATCATTTCTAACTGTCGCCAACTAGATGGCGATAGTTGGAATAGGAATTTTTCATTCGAATGGATCAAAAAACATACGACGCAATTATTTCAACTTCAAAAACAATTGCGTTTGCCTCAGCTGGTCACCTAAATGTAGTTCATCGATACACTACAAACACGACAACATATTTTTTCGCACGTACCAACTTGGCCTCGAAAAGGTGCATTTGGGTACAGCTCTCCAAATTCCAGAAAACCGTGATCCCATGTGCATTTGTTTGCCCACATTTGGGCGAGATTTCCTAAGTCATCATTCCAAAACTGAAGGAAAAGAGGCCATCATTAAGAGAAAACAACGATAACTACATAGGGCACGCTTATTTCGTCAGTTAGCAGAATAGTGAATAAAGAAGTTAAAATTATTCTTTGTTTTCTTACAGTTCTGTTGGTGTTATGGTTTTCATGACCTCAACCCAACCCCTCCCCCCCGTCTCCCCAAGGAAAACATTGAACTAACATCACTGTAAAATGAGAGGAGAAGAAAGACTGCATGGTTTAAAAATAAAAAGATTTTTGAAACGTTTCTTTCTGTAAAGTGCATCAACACTTTGATTTTAAAACACCTGCTGCAGAGATTTGCGAACGCGACCTTTAAATTTAGAAAGACGGCGATACCCAATTCCATATATCATTTTAATTCCCAACGGCAACTCTAGAAATGAAGTCCGCGTTTTTTTTTTCCTATAAACGTTAAACATCCGACTAGAGTTCGAGATTTATACCAATTATAAGCAGTTTACGTGATAAGCACGAAATGAAGGATACCTGAAATTATATACAGGTGTATCTTTTTTTTCCATTTGCGGTGCGTGGCATAAGTCATCACAGACACGGAAAAGAACAAGACTTACTCTTACCAAGTACTCCATATTAGCGGCGGGCGGGTTCACCAGACTCCGAAATTTATTGTGTTCATCAACAAACTGCTCTTGCTGACTTTGACTGAGTCGCGAGATGGCGTACTCGATTGCCATTGGTTTTAGAGGACCCAGGGGAGCAACTGTTAGTACGATGACTGAAAAGAAAAAGAACGTTTGCGCGCAACATTTTGGTAGTTGTTGTTTTTCCATTAGGGCGCGAAAAACCGCCACAGAAAAAGATAAGAATTGTTAGTTTAACGCCGATTAGTGAAGCAGGTTCCATAATCTTTAGGTAAAAAGCATTAAACTAAAATGATTACCAGAAATTTGTGACAGTATTAGCAAACATTTCGCACCTTGATGACACGCCACCAACTTTATTTGAAACGTCAAACAAGCACCACTAACATGCAAGGGGTTTCGCGTCTTCAAGAAAAATTTTAGGCAGATCTGGGCATCTAGTTTACGCGAACTATTTCCACGATTAAGCTGTTGTTCAAATAAAAGTAAATCTGTATTCGACGGAAACTGCCATTATGCAGACATGGACCATGAAATTGAGTCTTTTTGTGACCAGAAAGCTGCATTGAGCGATAACTTCAAAATGTTTTCACCAAGTTTTCTATTTACATAAATAGGAAAAAATGTGGTGTTAACATTGTGTGCACTTTATTTAAGGAAACTTTTTTTTCTAATGCAGAAGATACATGGTAGATGAGGCATTTTGAACGACAAAACGCGAGAGGCGAAACCAACCCCTTTGTCTACGGCGGCATTAGCTCTCAAACGTCTTTTGAGAGATCCGCCATCATAGAGCGTACAGAAGAAGGAAGCGGCTGAAAAAGTTGGAAAAGCGCTGAACAATAGATGATCACGCTGAAACAGATCCAGAAATAAAGTTTGACAACACCGCGAAAATTACAAGAAATCCTATTTAAAGGAAAGGTTGTGCTAAGCAGACATTGTCAATGACCTCACACAACATACTGAAAATACGATAAAATGAAGATTATTTATATTTTTTGAAAGTGTAGTCTCTGAATGTTCGTCAACGCTAGCGACATAATGAAAAATTGCCTCACTTGCCGTAAGCAAACACCACAAGCACTAGAAAGGCGTCAAGTATGAAAAGTAATTTCACGTTTTGTGCAATTTGAAAAAATTCTTCAACTTAGTCGTTCGCAGCCGTGTTTGTCCTCTCAATCTTTGCCGTCGTTGTTTCTTTTGGCCGCAGTCCATGAGTAACCAACGGATGGTTTGCATTATACCATAATCGAACAGTATCCAATACCTCACATAACTTCCTTTATATGCTCTGATTCACTCGTTTAGTCAGTTTGCACATTTATCAAATAAGGACACACGATCTTTGCTCAAGGCTGCAGTAATATTGAAAGATAGAACCCACAATCATTAATAGTCTTCGCTATAAGGTATACTTTGTAAGAAAAGCAAATTTTTTCGACCCAAAGCTTGCGGGAGACTTAATCTTTTTTTGTGCATCTCCTAAGTTTTGATCTTATTTCTTGACAAACGGATTGAAATAATTCAAAGTAATTAACTCGATATAATTGATTATCTATGCTAATGAGATAGGTTTTGTGAGTTAGAATGCACAATTATAGATGAGTGGTTGAACAATCATAGGTAACTGAGGACGCTGATAAAAGTAAGTAGTGCCGGTTAAACCTTAACTTACTTTCTTACTTTAACATTATTGAATAAGAAAAAAATACATGGCTACAGATTCTTTCAACCGAGGGGTCATCAACATCAGTCATTCAGTGCTAAGGGTGATCTTAGAGTGTACAACTTTGCAAGTAGTTAAGCTTCAATGATTTTTAAGTCCTACACTCGTGATGCTCTTATTACGGTACATCCCACAAACAGTAACCAATTTTAACTGTACTCGAGTATACAAAGTTTTTCAGACAACAAGAATGACCACTAGAAAAGACACAGCATGCAAAGGAGGAACAACATATGAATAGAGAAGTGAACTACAAAGAATAGCTGAATAGGAGAGTACGAGCTATATCAACTAACTCTGTGCTACATACATGTAATAATCGAAAGGGTTTTAAATTTGTAGAGCTATTACATATGTGACGTAGTTAGAAAACAGGAAACGAGCCAAAAATCAGTGAAAGACAGACTTATTGGTCGAACATTATAATCCTCTTGTTCGATGCAGCCAACCATGTTAAAGAATTTCATGATAAAAATTGGGCAGCCAACGGGCAGCGAAGAAAAAAAAGATACCTTGGAACATAAGTAGTATAGTAATTCACGAACCGAACCCTCTGAACCGCCAAGAGAATATGCTTGGAATTGATACGTAAAGAAGACAGACTGTTTACATAGACCGGTTACGGGTGTTTGCTTGGTATGTATTTGCGAACCAAAAACATGGTACACTTCAGTGGGTTATTTATTCATTTAGATAGTTGAGAAACTTTTGTCGGAAACAGGATAATAGTATTGTAACGATTCAAAATTATCTGCCGGAAATCGAGTGTCACGATCTGTCCGCTCCGATAAATCAGTTTGTTTATCTTTGTTGAGAAGAACTTTATAGCCAAGCAACTTACGTTTTGATCAAGGTGTGTTTATGAGAGAAGAAAATCATTGTGAGTAGTTTTTAGTCGGCCAGAGACTTCGCGTAACGTTGTTCTGCCTGCTTTTCTGAGAAATAAATTCTGGAAGAGAACAGTGACAGTGTGGGCTCCTCACTTTATTCAGAGAAAATTTAAAAGGAAGTGTGGAACTGATTACGTCACGATGTGTAAAAAACAAACAAAAGAAAAAAACAAGTAGCAAATAATTGCTTGTACAAGGTCGGGGGGTTCCCGACACGCGACATCAACAGCATTGTTGTTTTCACTTTTGATTTTTTCCGGCTTTTCTACCCAGCCACCTCAGCAAACTATGCTGTCGAGCAAGATAATTTGGTTCTTATCAACTGATGAAGGTAGACTACGAGTATTCCCTCCTTTTCTGCGAAGATCTGTAGCGCAAGTCAAAAAAAATTCAGCGGAAAAAAATTGGTATTAACGCTGTGCAGGGAATTATTGGAGTGACGCGGCCGATGCGCCGCGAGAGCTCCTTGAGTGAGGCGCTCGAAAAGTAGGAGGACGAGGAGGGGGAAGGGAGAGAAATACGGTTGGCTTATTAGAGCGTCTACGATTCTCGATCCCGTCGATCCCGAAGTTCTCGTGTGCCGACAAAATGAGATCTCTAGCAAGTTATGCCAAATATGAAATAACGAATTTTCATCAAGAATTTATGGTGAATGAAGGGGTGATCTGTTTTACATCTGATGTCATCTCTTTTCCAGCACTCCCTTGCATAATGTGTAAAATTGGAAACCTGACCCTCGTCAAACTGTTACCATGTTATTTGAAAGAGAAAAAAAAAAACACAAACTGCAAACGTGTTCTAACTGGGCTGCACTTGCTACATGCATGCTTTGCATGTTAGAAACCTATTTGCAGTAGACGCAGGAGTGGATCAAATTTTCACGATTGATTACTCTTCAGTTGAACGCACTTTAGCTGATGACAGCTGTAGTTATTACTCTGTATACATTTATTTTTAATCAAAGCAACCGGTCTCCGTATCCCTCGTCTTTGACACAATATAGACAGTGTCGCACTTTGCCAGACAAATAAAACCTACTCTTATCGGCTCCTCTTAAACTCTTCCGTTACTGGTTCAAGTTATTTTACTCCCTCATTTCCCAATGACACTACAATTTTTGAAAGACTTAATAGTTGCTATGATAACTACGACATTGAACTGTCTCCAACAACATGGAGCCGGTGCTTTAGCTAAAAGGGGATCATCTATCATCACAGCCAACAACTGAAGAAAGAAAGGCTACTTGGCATATTCGGATAAAACCAAGCAGTTAGTTTATCCAAACTTGAGGGCGGAAAGATCTCGGTGACAAAAGACGGCAATTTGTTTTATTTGCGTGTATAACGACGGACTAAAGAAAGGGAAAAAAGGTGAACGATTGGCTACAGATGCTCGGCATGCAGTGTGTTTGTTTTAACGTACACACGACTGACTGAGTTTTCTTCCCCCAAATTGTCACTGAATGCGTTTGTTTTTCAATCTCAAACTCTGTCCTTGAGACGTGTAACCTCCATATGCGTGACCTGCACAATACAAAACTTTCCACAACATGACATGTATAATGCGCCCGTTAAATAGTGTCGAATTGACACTCTAAACAGCTTTGAACTAAAAAGGAAAAGTGCCAAACGCAGATTCCTCGTTAAAATGAGATTAAGTACTTATTTAATTATGTTTTAGAGGATAGAAGCGCGCCCAGTTCTCGCCGTGTGTTTTCCTCCAGAGAGCACCAATTGACTTTTGTGTCCCACCACAGTAAACAGCGCAAGTTAGTTATACTGTACCACGATTGTTTTTAATCGTGAAGAGCAATTTTACAACGGTCAAAATAGAAAATTGGCGCGAACTATGTGATAACACTAATGCAATCATGACAGAAATGTTTCGAACGTGTTCACGAGATAACCTTGAGACAAAGGTGGTGACTTCCTGAACGATCCAATCTCAAGCGGCAACCACTTTAAACAGGGAAAACCCGAGCCTTTTTTCATTCCACCTTGAAAGTGCAGGTGACATTTTAATCTAATAACTCACTGAACTTATTATGATGTCAATCTCTCGTTTCAGATTTCAACACTGAGAACTGAGCGCCAAATTCAAAATTGTGACCATTGTTCCGCCACGTATAAAGGAGCGTGCTACGCGACTGGTCGAGTTCATATCAGCGATCGGTTCACACGAGGTACACCTCAACAAGAGCGCGATTCAACCATCTAAATACAAAATTTCTCTACAATGGCCCACTTACCAGCCATGGTTTTTCTCGTTGTCTTGGAAAGTATAACTGCAAAATATGGTAAGTAGAGTGATTGTTTCGGCTCATAATTGGTGTAACGTTGAATTTCTGAGCGACGCATTACGAGGGCTTGCCGCGTTACTAACATTACAACGGTTCGGTTGTTGTAAAAACGTTCAAAGTTCCTCATCGACACGGACTGAAATGTTCTCGTTTCAATAGTAATTGTTAATTTCTTTAGTGAGGATAGCACCAAAGCTGCGAAATTTAGAGCGACCTACTCCGTCCGTTGTTAAGCTGTTGTTAAGAGATTATAGTACTTAAGAAAAAAAATTAAAATAACGCGCACGTCAAGCTTGCTTATACTTCCCAGACGGATCTCACTCTAAACATGATGCGGCGGAAAAATATTTATCGACACAGGAGAATATAAAGTTATGAAAAGGTTATTGCAAGAAGTTTGTGCGGTTGATTTCAGTAGTTTCTGTTTGTTCGTTTTTTTTTTTTTTTCGGTATAAGCCGCTTGCGCGCAATTTCCGGAAAGTCTTTAAATAGACAAAGACGATTAATGAAAGGTTCCAACTATCATCACCCAGTAATATTTGGAAAATACAAAGATGCCATAGGGCTAAAATAATGATTCCAGTTAATAACTTAATGACTCACACGCATTCAAGACCTTCCACCTAAGAGCGTTAATCGCACTATGAAAAAGAGAGAGAAATGACAAAATCACACCTTAAATCCGGTAAAAGCAATTTTGTTATACTAGGGGTGACAACCTGCTAAGAGGCTAACGAAAGTCTACTTGGCACGCAGGGACAAAATAACTTGTACAACTAATCTTCCTCAAGAAAAATTTTGAAAACTTCAATTGTGGCCAAGAGAGGCGTTGGTTTTCAAGTCTGTAGATTTCTAAGATTGAAGTCGTTGTTAAAATTTCGATCCACGCTAACAGGAAAAATTAAAAATTTAATTTCAGACCCACATCAACGACTCTGAATTTGATGAATGTGTCGTGCCCACATGACCTCATGGGTTGGAAATAAGACAGGTCCACCAAGAATTTGAATTAGTGGCCTTGCGGTCTCATAAAAGAGTTTCCTTGAGACGTATTGCTTGTGTTTGAGGTGTTTCCTCCGGTTTAGGTTGATTGACTGTTCATTTTTTACAATCCTTGCATAGTTATGTAAATGTGAGCTGTGACCTTCCCACTAATTGTGCCATTCGCACCTCTTGGGTCTTCGCCAATTTGTGCCTGTCGATATTTAAAAAAGAAAATGAATGACCTCGATCTCTATTACCGTTCAAACAAAAAATGCTTGCTTGCTGTCCTGATGACCATCATCAGGCGACAAAGCATGTCGCGTGCGCCGAGTAACGCAATTAAAACCAAGAGTCCGAAGTAACGCTAACTAAATCAGTGCTGTGTAAACGGATCTCATTGTCATTTAGGTCTTCCAAACCAAAACTGTTTGCGCAACGAGTAACCCTCGCCGATGCCGAAATCAAGTCCTCGGCGTCCGTGAGTAGAAATATATATTTGCGTAACCTTCAAAAGGTAAACCTGCGGTAAAAATAGAAAAACCGGATAATGTGCTAAGAAGCATGACAACGAATCGACAGACAGCTTTCAAAATTACGATTCGAGGCGATTGTAAATGTTTTTGTGTCAAGGCTGGTACTTGCATACATAAAAAGAAACCTCGTTTTTAAATTAATGTATGACAAATTTTGGTTTGACAGCGACTTCTTTGTTCGAAATCTGGACGCTAGCGTGGAGCGGAGTTTCAGTCGCTTTTACCACAGATTTTTTTTCTCTTCTTGAGAGAATAGTACTCTTCTTTCTTCTTTGGGCCTGTTTTGTTTTGTTTTTAACCCAAGGACTTTTTTTCTGCTTTTCAATTTTCCATGAGCAAAGATTTTTTAAATTTTGTCAAGTGCGCGATTTAAACAAAATATGCAAATAATGTGAAGAGGAGCGGATGCCGCGAAAATTCCCCTAGGGGACTCGCCCAGGCACGATATTATGACAACTTCCTGATTTGTTAACTATTATTTAATTAAAAATACGTTTTTCTAAATAACTCCGACGCTTTTGCAGATTCTTAATTTTTTTTTCGGAACCGTTAGGTAAGATGTTTGACTTCGATTTAGTCAAATAAAAGAAAAAATGATGTTTTAGGCATCTGAAGGTGGGAAGTAACCAAGACCGTCTAAACGTCCCTTATCTCTACCAATGAAAGCCTCCTTAGGGGTAATCTCACCCGGAAGATCAGACCACATAAAACTCATGGCCAATTCTCTCCAAGGGGGTTACTCTAAACGAGTAGGAAAAGTGTCTGAATACTTAAAAAATCATCCAGTCTCGGGGGGGGGAGGGTGGAAGAGGGGGGCAAAGCTAGTCGCAAAAGGGAGCCTTTATAGAGATTTGAATATATATTTGCTGCAGTTTTACCAGGTGCTCCATGGTTCGCACACGACATTCCTCAGACGAAATTTGGTGACCGTGAAGTGTTTCCATCCGGCAACTCAGAAAAGCTTATTTCGGCGCAAACATCGATGGCCGAGATAAAAAAATTGTTCGAAAGTGTAGAGCATATGTCCGTCCAATCTCACGACTCTACAGATGAATCTGAGGGTCCAAGGGCCTGGTACAAACCACAGCAGGACGAGACAGTTTTTGATGAAGGAAGTAAGTTGGAAAAGAATTGATCGAAACTTGACAAATTCGTATGAAATACAAGGTGTTGAAGCTTGACTTTGGAGGTACTGACTAAACGATTGCGTGGGAAAAATACATCAATATTGTTTCTCTCCCGTACGTCTGCTAGTCACCTCCGGCAATCGCGCTTAATCATGGAGATATTTTAGGGCTCAAGCCTACCCATATACAATTCACTTCAAAACTGTCCTGATGACACCTTCACAGTTTTCCAATGTTTTGAATAAAAACTTCGACAACTGGTTTAATTGTTGTGGCCACGTGGTCAAATGAACTATTCCTAAGCTCCACTCCAGAACGAAATTGACAGTGCTCTTACTTCTCTTTCTACCCGCCATTAGAATCTGTCACTAATTCACTGTTTATATTTATCTCGTAACTTACTGCCATACAGAGTGCATCGACGAGTATCACGACTGTCAACAGTTTGCGGACAACTATATCTGCTTTGAAGACGTGTACAAAACTTGGATGCAACGGAAGTGCAGGAAAACTTGCAAATTCTGCAGTAAGTTCCATCGTTTTTGTTTGAAACTTCGTGGCGAACAATTTCAACGAAAATATTCCAGAATTGGCCATTTGTGAACTTCGCAAGGCCTCCATTTTAAAACGGGGGTAGGCGCTAAGTCGTTTCGGGTAGGAAAATTGTTTTTTAGAGGTCTGTTTTTGCACTAAAGAGGTTTTGCAGTTAGCCCACACATCGATATTCGGATATGGCGTTCTTATACTTTGAGGCTTGCTCAGTCTTTATTCATCCCAGCGCCGAGGAATTTGCGTCTTTAGTTTACACAAAATGTTCATTAATCAACGCAATCATCATCTCCCTTGTCCTTAACAGAAGAAAACTGCTTGGATACCAGGTATGGTTGTTGTGAAGATGGAGAGACTGTTGCTGATGGGCCTTCCAAGGCTGGATGTGGAGGTAAACTCAATAAGGCACAAGCAACATTCCTCAGTATTGTTAAATATTTATGGAGAATAAACGATTATCCCCACCCCCCTCCCCCAACAGAAAATCGTGTTAATTGCAGTGAGGACCAAGAAGTGCATTGGGAAAAGAGACAAAACAGGTTATTTCAGAATTTGATCATATAACTGACTGCAGCGCGCAAAGAATACCTCATGTACAATAGAATAGAATAGACTTTATTTCAAGAGGGTAGCACGTGACAGTAGTTAAACTGATGATCCTGTGGCCCTCTAAATAATTTCAACTATCCCACRTCAGGGGAGGACATCCATCACACAGTAATCTCGTGCATGGGAAATTAACGTCTCCTACACCTAACCCTGCAGGAGACGGGACCTCCATTTATTCGTTCCTATCCGAGAAGACTAGAATATCTAAACATTTCTTGATGTTATAGAAAGGTAGCATATTATTCTCAATTATTTTAAGACCTTGAGTGTTGGTCCTGCCGGGGCTCGAACCATCGACCTCCCGCACAACAGTCCAGTGCTCTATCCATTGAGCTAACTGGGAGGCGGTCCATGTAGAGAAATGACTGACATGTAAACCCTATTTTAAATCAGTGGGGGCTCAAAAAGCAAATCCTCTAAGCTGCACACATTTGCAATAATTTCAATAGGAACACCTGAGTTAACCCTGCGACCACTAATAGTGACAACCATCTAATTTCCTCTTGCAATATCACTCCTGAATCTAACATTAAGGTCACAAGAGTATAAAAGGAAATCAGATCACCAGCTAATGCAGCTCTTGATCGTTGAACAAATTCTCCTTGTCAGCCCCTTAGGAAATGTATGAAGAACAGTATGGAGAATATGCATACTGATGTTTGGGTGTTAAGGTTTAAGATTAGACGTAAGAGACGGTCAACTAACAGTTATACTCAGTGGAAAAGATTCTCAACAGAGTAGTTGAAAATTTCGTTTCACATTTTTTTTTCCAGTTGAAAATGAGAACTACTTCTTTCAGTTAACAAATAGAACACATTTTCCGGGCACTATATCGTGATACGGTCACATGGGATGTTGGGAGAACACGAGGGAAGTTTATAAATCACAAGCCGAAGGCGAGTGATTTATAAGGTTTCCGAGTGTTCTTTCAACATACCCGAGCAGGTGGCTTTATCACGTTATAGAACCCGGAAAAATGCGTTCTATTTCTTTATGACTAGTTACATTTGGGCATTATAACCTAATGAAACATCCGCTTGAAAATTTAATTGACCAATCAGACAATGTGTGCTATGTTCATTATGTTATAGTTAAGCATAGTTAATTCCTGGACGTCGTTTTCTCTTGTTTACTTTTTTATTTGTTTATTCGTTTCCTTGTTTTGTTTTTCCAGTTAAATTGTGCATCGACCAGATAGACTGTGAACGATATAAACACAAATGTGACGACGATTCATTATCCAATTTCCTTAAAAAAAAGCTCAGAAATAGCTGCGCTTACACTTGCACGCGATGCAGTAAGTAATAGTGGATTGTTTTTTAATTGCGTTTTCCTAAAGTTAAGAACGTGTAAAGGGGAGGTAGTGTGGCCGAGTGGTTTGCGCGCTGAGCTTGAAATCTGGAAAACGATAAACATCTTAAAATAATTTCACAGTGGCATCCACCGACCCGTAATTTAAATCAAAACTTTGCCAGCAGAAATATTTCAATAGATGTGATCTACACGTCATGGAAGCTTTGGCGATTTTTTTGTTCTTTGAAAAGAGAGCATTACTTTGTTTGAATCAATGGCTTAATCCGAAAGAGCCGCAAAATCTGCGAAGCGAGGAAGCTGCGAAACACGATACCTTGACTTATTCAACAGAATGGAGGGACGGAGAAATAATAGATCGGCGGAACTGCGGAATATGTTAAGACGCGGAATGACGGAATATCCCAAAACGCGGATCACCGTTTTGTGTGAAACAAAAGTCTCAAAAAAATGGAATTGCAATAAAATAGGGAAACTATTGATAATCAAAAGGTTAGTTAAAAGATATACACATTATTTGTAACAAGTGCGACTTTTCTACGAACACATTACCGTTCCGATGTTTTCTCATTAAGTCGAATGAAGCATATATTGATCTCTCGTGTAGTAAAACAAGTTGTTTTGAAGTTCGAAATTATAACTAAAGGTTTGTATTCATCATAATAGAGGCACCGAGTCCTACCGCAGATTGTGAGGCCCGCAGAACGAGGTATGGATGCTGTTGGAATGGACAAGAAGCATTGGGTCCGCTAGAAAAAGGATGCTTACGTAAGTGCTAATTTCGCCGCCTCACCGTTCTTTAAATAGCGGCGTCCAAGACTAAGTTTCTCCGCATCTAAACGCGATTCACGAACGGTTATATTCTCTTTGGGACCTGAAAGCATAGTTGGTAGTTCTCGTTTAAACCCCAAGAGTGACCAGCATTTCATTTTTCCATATAGTAATGCTGCTGGATCATGAACTAAGATCATGAGAATAAATCATGAAAATAAATGATCATGAGAATAAATGATCATGAGAATAAATGATCATGAGAATAAATGATCATGAGAATAATGGACATGAACACCAACTTAGGAAGCTATCATTATTAAACGAATTATTTTCGTCAGTACCAAAGGAATGTATGAAGAAGAGTATGAAAGAGTATCAAATTTCAAAGTTTTATAAACTAATCATGTTGTTTTCTGCTCGGGTGGCAGCTTGTGAGGACACTTACCCACGGGCCTGTCAGGTCTTTAAGACCTGCAATTCTCCGTTCTACAACCTTAGAAAATTTGGGAATATGCACTGTCCAAAGAAATGTGGAATGTGTGGTAAGAAGCATCATCACAGCATGGCGTCCCATTCGGCCTGTAATCATACGAGGGATTAACCAAATCGAACGACCGCAGAGCGAAAGTCTGAGTTGTCAATCACAAGTATGATTACAGACCAAGTTGGACAACACGAGGTTCTGTTACCAATTAATCATTACCATTACAACTTTCGAAAAGAAACAAACACATTTGTTTGTCTAAAGTTAAAAAAAAATTGTCCAGTTTAGATGGTTATTATGGTAAATTCTGTAATTGGTGGCTTTAGTAGAGTGGACTTAGTATGATTGGCTGCTTAAAGTATCCGATAAACAGCCAACTGTCCAATCAAACTGTTCGATTACAACTCTACAGAATAATTAGTGAAAAATAAAGCAGCTAACTCACCAATCACATTTGAGGAAATTGCAATAGTTATGATTAGTTCAGTTAGAGGTAATTCATATAAAGAGCTGAATTATTCACACAAAATGATTAACTCTTACTAGTGATCTATTGAAGAACAGACGCATAGCTGACGTTATCTTTGACAGGTTTACAAATGGATACCATTTTACCGTTGGTCTGTGCAGTAATAGATCACAGAAGACGTCAAAATGTGGTAAAAACATCAGTGACACACTCGGCTGGGCCTCGTACACACTCGGCTGGACCTCGTACACACTCGGCTGGACCTCGTACACACTCGGCTGGGCCTCGTTCACATTCGGCTGCACCCAGTGTACCACTTTTTTATTCTTTCCAAATTTTCATTTGTGATCTGTTACTGAAAAGACGCAAGGCAAAAGGGAATCTACTTGTCAATTATATATCTTATATCTAAGGACGTGGCGATTAGCAAAGCCGAGATCACTCGTCAGTTACACCGAAAGGATTTTTTAATCGCTTCAGTAATGTTTGAGTAATCTATGTCTCGTGTAGGAAAGTGCGTTGATAAAGGACTGACCTCCAAATGTCAGAACTGGGCAGCAAAAGGTTTGTGTGCGGTACGCGGGTGGAAAACTTATATGGAGGAGTTCTGTCCAAAGACATGTGGTTTCTGCGAATCCAGCGGTGAGTCGGTCGTTCCTTAACTTGCAGTTGGTAAATGGACGTTCGAGGAATGTACCGTAAAAGGTGTGGGGTAGGCCTCCAAAATCACCCAAACATTTTCAGCAGCCTGCTAACGGGCATTGCGTTGAATTGAGTTTAGAATACTCTTGATGCAAGGGTACATCTCTAACCAAACTAAGAATCTAGGAAACTTTTCATAATCTCTAGTATACAGAATATCATGCTAGCCTCTATAATACATGTAAGCAAAGACCTTTTCTTCTGGGATTTGGTCCTATTCCAACGAAATGAGAACAATCTTTTGCCGCAGTAAGATTTCTGGGCATATATTACTCATGTAAGTCGAGCGGAGCATGAACACCTTTGTTTCATTATATGTCATATGCACTTTAAACTTTAAATAACGCACTGCTCACTTTTCTCATTTTCCAGAAAGTGCTGTGGATGTGAGGACCCTCCTTGGGATCTAACTAGGGTGATTAGGACCCTATACTTGCTTAAAAAGAAAAAAAGCTTTCTTTTGTAATGAACTTTACAGAGGTAAAAAAAAAATTAGTTCAGAAACTAAGAGGTGACATTCCCGGAGTAGATTTGTAAAAACTTGCTTGCAAGTAGTTGCTATTGATTGTTTTTTTAGTTTTCCTAGATTGTACTTTTGTATGTTTAAGGCGCCGGCGGCCGTGATAGTCTTTCAAATCATAAAACGATTTGTTACAACTCCTTAGATATAGATTTGAGGAAAGTATGGACCCGTTGCAGTTTATCTTTCGTTGAAACTATAAAAAAAAAAAGATCATAATACACATGTAGGAAAGACAATCAAAGAGTTTTTTGTTTTTTTTTTGTTTTCCGTTAGTAACTACCTTTTAACGCACGCCTACTACTCTCTTTTCGGTAAGTCATACACCGAATGCAAATATGGCGTCCAATTTGAATTGCCATTGTTCTGGACTGACTAGCCTCGTCTTCACGTGGAATCACAAAACGATTATCACATTTGTGAGAGGCTAGTCAGTCCAGAACAATAGTAATTCAAATTGGACGCCATATTTGCATTCGGTTTATACGTAAGAGTAAAAATCGTTGTAAGTCGAGGCTAAGATTGCGATCGCTTAAGACTTTCAATGAAGGTGAAATGAAGATACCCTGAGTTCAGTTTACTTTTCAAAACTATTAAAGCAAATGCCGCATTCCTAGCTGTCTTCGTAGTTTGAACTGATCATGCTAAATTTTTTAGAGGATGCGCTTTTCAAGGCGAATTTTATTTCCAAATTCTACTTGATTTTTCCAAACCAAATGCCTCAATTGGAGATATACAAAGTAAACAAGTTGGGTATACTTACGATATTGGCCAGTTCGATAATACTATGCTCCTCAACAGCTAAACCCTCCCATAACCCGTTACTAATCCACATGAATAGGTCCATTCATACAGCAATAAGAAGAGCCCATTTCAATTTAACAAGTTCCGTTACGCCAAAACAAAAGTCACACAACGACGTATCAGGGCGAAAGAAGACATTACAAGGGTCCGAGGAAAAGAAAAACTAAATAACAGGTTTGTTAAAACGATTTTGAGAAACCGGACTCTGATACAAAGTATGCGATACAATGTAATACTTCAACGCCGAAAATTGAGCCCCAAGCAATTGGAATTTAGAGTAGATGGTGAAAATGCACCGGTTGCACACAACTTCCCTTTTAACCCTTTACACTCAAACATCAGTTTGTATCCCCTTGAATCTCACAAGGAGAACAATGATATCTTTTTTGAACAGTCAAGAGCCTTCCCTATAGTTGGTGATCATTTCCTTTATTCTCCTGACCCTAATGTGTGATTCAGGGGTAATATGGTTGAGAGAAATTAGATGCGAGAAACTCCTGGGGGCCAAAGGGCTGAGGGCGGAAAATGCTCGCCGCGAAGTCACGATTGCTTACTTTTGTGATTGGTTGAAAGAGCGGCAACAATCGCAGAGCGAAATGAAGCAAAATCGCCGCAATCCTGGACTATTTGCGATAATCGATTGAAATTTGCTCCATGACATTTACTAAATTGGTGGAGTTTTTATTTTAATTCTAAAACTTTCTTTTTCGCGTTGACAGCCGCGTATCTTAAGCAGAAAAGTCGATCCAGCTTTTCAAAGCAAAGAAGGAACAGCTGAGGATTAAAGGGAAATTCCTCATTGACGATTAACAGCTTTCTATTATTAAGAGATTTAAGAAAAGGTGTTAACGACTTCGTCACGAACCTGTAACAAAGGTAAAATCTAAGTCTTTCTCGCCGATTTGAGCCTCAGATCGACCAGATGCTCTGCCAGCTGAGTTTCAGATAAGTCGTTAGTCAGATAGACCAAACAATAACCATATGCGCATGCGTGACATTCGTCCTTGATACCTCTGGGATCAGAATTTGACACAAGCTTGATACGTAAATCTGAGTTCCGCGTGATTACTTAAGAGATTGCATGATTACTGTATAATTCCATGATTGCCGAAAGCCGACAAGGAGTAGTCGATACCTTTGTTCCCGCTCAACCTCAGCTTAGACATGTGGAGCACAAAGGCCAAAGGACGCACGAATAGAATTCTCTGGTTCCTATTTGATACCTTTATCATTTACTGTATAAATCGAGTAAACAGTTGCAAAGCGCTAAGCGTGAGCATAGAGGCGAGAATAGTTATGTAAATAACGTTCACCGATGATCTGTATGTATATGTTGTAGTTCAATTTTATCCTTGGTGAAAATTTTATTTTCCTTTGTTCTCGGTCATGTTAATGTATAATAATGAGTTTGAAACAAAGGAAAATAAAATTTGAACCAAGGATAAAACTGAACTACAACATATACAAGCCAAAGAAAGCAGAGCAGCAGCTGCGATCTGCAAGTTGTCGATAGAAGAACACAATGTTGCCTACGAGCGAATCTGCGCAATTCTCACAAGGATTATCATCATTCCTCACTATTAGCAGCGGCTTCCAGAAAGAGGCGATACCCTTAGCAACCCTTTTGGGAACCTTAAACAAGAGGTTATGGGGGGACATCAGCAGTTTCACTGACTGCTCGTTTGCAGACCTCTTGTAGTCACGTTAGTAGGTCACTACAGAATAAGGGCCATACTGAGGGAATTCTGCACACATTAAAACCGGACGATTAAAACGCTGTTTCACAAATTGATAAGATCATAAAAAACTGTTAAATTGTGAAAGTTTTATCATGTTTATACTTCATGGCACGTAATTTCACGCTCTCCTATCTTTTTGTCCTTAACATTATATGCATATTCTCCATGCTGTTCTCCAAACATTTCTTCTGATACTGAGAAAGTGAACCTGTCTAACGACCGCCTCCCGGTTAGCTCAATGGATAAAGCGCTGGACTGTTGTGCGGGAGGTCGAGGGTTCAAGCCCCAGCCGGACCAACACTCAAGGTCTTCAAATAATTGCTACCTTTCTATAACATCAAGAAGTGATTAAATATTCTACTCTTCTCGGATAGGGACGAATAAATGGAGGTCCTATCTCCTGCAGGGTTAAGGGTAGGAGAATTTAATTTCCCACGCACGAGATTTCTGTGTGATAGATGTTCTCCCCTGGGGTGGGATGGGTGGGTTTCCACATTTGCATTTAAACGAGCTATCTCTCATATGCGATATGTGGTTATATAACCACTTAGGTCAGTGGTTCGAATCCCGTACAGGCCTGAAATTTTTTTCAGGTCTGATTTTCACTATTGCTCAAATAGTGCTTTACTGCGAAGGATCGTTAACATATACATAAAAAAAAAATACTTACTTACTTATCAAAAGCTCTGTTAGTTTGCCATCATTTCCATAATTGTCATGACGATAATGTTCGATTCCGCAGTGATATTCAAAATGGTATCCGGTCACTTCGCCCCATGGTCATTTCTTTCACCCCCGGTCACTTCACTCCAATGCAAGAGTCAGTTCGCTCCATTATCGAAGTCACTTCGCTTTATACAAAGTTTCAATTTAAATTACTCGAGGAAACTGATATCGCACGAATCGCTTCGCGATTCGTGCGATATCGATTTTCAAGTGCAATGTTACGCGGAATTCACGAGCCAGCTAATAAATTTTCCTTGAATCGCATAATTAAAAAAAAAAACAAGATAAAAAAAGAAAACAGCTTTACTAAGAGTTGCTATGCATACGCAGATGCGAAACAATATCACTTAGTCTCGTTTTCAACTCGCAATTCCATGCTAACTACCTTGCTTCGTTAACCAATCAGAATGCGAGATTTTAAGATTTTATTCAAAGATGCGATTCTTGGGAAAACTTGACATTAGTTGTTAGTCATTCTTTGGGATGACTAAGTTGAAAAAATGCCCGACTTTTCGTTATTGCCGGAGCTTCCCAAAGAGGCACATTCGTCATTTTCTCGTATCGTCTTTCATTTCATAATATAGACCAATATAGACCAATTTTCAGAACAAGACAAGAAAATAAAAACGTGGACATGGCATGAGGTTATCAAGTTCTCGTACACACACACTTAGAATGATTTTAGTCGAAGAATTATTGAGCAAATACAAGTTACTCCTACCTCTAAAAGAGTGTGGAACCCCTCAGTTTCATTTCGAATCATCAAATCATGCGATTATGTCGACTCGAACAAATACTAAAACAAGAAAAAGTATGCGATATTGATTGCAGGTTGCCTGATTAAGTTCCATCGAAAGTTGCATTTATTAAACCCGCTCAGGTCAAGAAAAAGAGACTGTTCAAAATGCGACCGAAGAAGCAGAACCCGAAACCAAAATTTAGGCTGTTTAAGTACATCTGCGTATTCTAGTTTTTTAATCAATCATGATACCGACCACTAAGAACACTACAGGCAGAAAAACCTAAGCAAAACAAACCTTCTTTTTTTTGCGTGGCCTAAGAGAGACGCCAAACACGCAAAGCCCCGATGGAATATTACCTCTTCCTAATTTTGAACTTAAATTCAAAAGAAAAGCATAAAAGATTAATGAGATCTCATCTAATCATTTCTCGCCAACAACAAGAAGGTCTCCCTGTCGTTCTTTTTAAATTGTGTCTGTCAACAGAGGTGGTGCGAAAGGGGGCCTGCAATGAAGGATTAATTAGGTTGTTTTTCAGTGCTGTAGACGAAAAAAGGGGGACGTTTTCCTATATATATAAATTTTTTTGTTAGATAGCTTTCTTCTATAATCGAGTTCTTTATGTATCCTTACAGTAAAAAAAAAAAAAAAGAAAATACCAAATGTGTTGCATGATCAATAAATATCTCCAAAATTGAATGCACGTAGTCACGATCTCTTTGCTTTGAAAAAACACAAAGCCAAAGTAATTATTGAGAATCACAGACTCAGGGGTCCTACGAAACAAAGACCACAAACTCTTTGTCTGGATTGATCAGTAGCAGGTATAAAACAGGTTACCTACCGCCTAGGTGATCAAAACCGACGACTTGGTTACTATCAGAGACCTACCACGTCTGTCAAAGAACCTACAGTTGGGCACTTGAATCAGTACAAGAATCAGCAATGGAGTATCAGAGAAACTTCAAGTTATTGGGCGGGGTGTTTGTTTTCTTTCTCTTGTGCACAAATATCTCAAATGGAGTTTACAACGGTTGGTGTATCTTATAACTTAAACGGGCAGATGGTATCCATATCTGATGATCTTAAACTAAAGAAGATGATGATTATGTCATTGTTACAGCAAACTAAAAGAAATTGTTCACTCAAAAGCTACTCAAACGAAACCAGATGCCTCGATTAGAGGTATACAGAAGTTGCTCAGTGGTTAAGAAGTTTGGTGTACTTTCGATATTGGTCCAGTTTAATAGCAATTTAACGTCACATTTTGCTTCAATTTAGAGAGAAAGCTATACAAATTAACAATGTTTTATCATCCTATCATGGATTTTCATTCGTTAGCTTAATTTTTTGTGCAAGAGCGTCAGCAATAGATGCCTTCAGTTGTCTGAAGTTACATGTATCACATGATATGTAAGGAAGATAGTGAAACCCGCGTATTCAAAAAATAACTTTGCCTCCAATGCTTCAATGTAATGTTTGTTTAAATTTTGTGGTGTCTGTACTTTGTTGCGTGCAGCTACTTTTAAGGAGGACATAATGCTGCAACAAAATACATAAAAACAAACGCGTAGAAGCAAAAAAATACTGCGTTCTAGTACATTATGGCAGCTTCAGCTAAAGCTCAATAAATTAAATATTATTTTGAATGTGGTCAAAACAATATTTACAATTCTATTCTGAAAGCTGCTTGAAAACATTGCGCCCTCGGAGACTTCTTTTTTACCTAGATAAGCTGCTTCTTCGAAATACGACAAAATTCTTTATGACGAAAATCAGGCCAAAACGAGGGAGAGACATACCTCAATCAAATCCTCACCTTTGTCAAGATAAACACCGTTTAAGACAAAGTACCTAGGCATAAAGTTTCTGTTGTGGACTCCAGTTCTTAATAACCCCAACTGAATTGATAACAGTCATAGTTTTAGGAGATCGTAAAAGTTGTTTATAACGCCCTATTCAGTGTTTCCAACCTGAATGATCCTATTTCATCAAATTTTTCTTAGCATACGAGACCACCCCCTCGAACACCTCACGTACTTTGACATTCCAAACATATATTTTTTAAATTATCATGATTGCGTTCTCGGGAATGTTCTTCACACCTGTCAACATCGTTAACTCGTTGCTCGAAGCCACGATATCTAGTCGACACAAACAAAACTTACAACATCTCAAAAAAGGTGACTGTCGCAATTTATTGACGTAGTGGTTTAAAAGATAGTGGTTTAAAAGAAATTTTGCGAACATATTTTTGACGATCGTGACAAACTTAATTGGCAATAACCTAACCGGTCATACTTTAGGGACAATTACCGTGTTGAAACAAAATAAACGCAGTAGGAGTCAGATAAATGGTGGGATGTATTCCAACGTAAAGAAAAAGGGGATTGTTACAAAGGACTTAAACTAAAATGGCCGAATATTGAACTACATATTGTAGGTTAAAAACAAAAATAAGGAGGCGGTAAAATTGCGGATATACGTGGTTAAACGTGCTTTTTTTTTTTTTTTAATGCAGTGACCTTATCCCCAGCTGTATATAACTTGAAATTACCATTGTAATTACCTTTTAAAACTCAAAAGATATTTTCCATTCCCCATTCCCCAGTATCCCACTAAACAGATATTTAGAGCTGGAAGTTCTGTAACAATGACAATTTATAAGTGGGTCGTTATATATCAGCAGCGGGGCTCGTTCACACAGCGCAATTGTAATGTTAACAAACTGGAAAACAATCATGTATAGATCACTAAAAAGTTAGCTGGCACGAAAGGATTAGGAGTTAAAGCGTAAATATAGGATAAAACCATGCAAATGTAACAGCGCAAATCTACAAACTGAGATCCTGCCACGGATCCTACACAGATCACAATTTTTAGGGGCTCTCGGGGTGAAGTCGTTTCCGGCCGAGTTTTACAAAGAGTTCAGTGGCAATGTTGCACTATGGGTTAGATATAGACATTACTTCAGAAAAAAACAACTTCATAGCGTAAGGCTAAAATGGAAGCTCGAAAAACTGTAGCTACAGTTTTACAAAAGTAACGCAAATTAAAGATTTAGGAAACTTCATAAAATCCACGACAACTGCATGAAATCAATTTCAAAAAGTACGACTTGATTCAGGGTTTGGGGCACGAGTTCCCTACGGTTTACATAACTCTTAACTCAATTACAAAGAGAGCTTGAAATTACTCGAACTTCCTTTTAACGTGTACTTTTAAGGCTTTGTATCTTGTAATGAAATGTACTTAACAGAGCAGATAGTGGATCTGAAATGAACTGAAACGAAGAAGTTTTTGCCGCTCAAAACGTTTAGAAAGGGTATGCTAAATTGGATGACTCACTGTTCTCCATTTCAAGCGGGAGCCGGTAAAAAGTACCTCTTATTCTCGCGTAAAATCACGTGCAATTCTTGAAAAGTTAGAAGGTAAAGGGATTGCTCTACCGGTGTGAAGATTTCTCTTACTGGTCGTGCTGATCATAGCCTCAAAGGGATGTTATTGAAAACAACTGACTAGAAGCAACCTTTGCAAAGATGTAGAAACTTCCAGACCGGAGAAATCAAGCTACTAACTCCATTGACCTTTTCGGATACCAGCTTTTGTTCTATCTCTTTTGTCTTAATGGTTATTGATTCCGATCATTTCTGACAACTGTAACAATTCCTTTACAGAGTGGTGCCAGGACCTTAACACAAAATGTGACGCGTGGAAGTCAAGGGGACTTTGCAGATCATTATCTCGCCGAGCCCAGGGAATGATGAGGAAGCTTTGCCCTGAAACCTGCAATTTCTGCGGTAAAAGCTCCATCGTTTTAAACCCTTTAACCCTCAGGGAGAGATCAGTATTTGGATTCTCTTTAAACTTTTAGCTCGGTGAGACATAGAAAGGTCATGAAAATTTAGAGAATTATGAACCCGAGGATATATATTGTCCGAATGAAAACCAATTTCCAATGACTATCCAAAGAATGATTTTTCCTTTCCAAGTTAAAAATTGGCTCTACGCTTTAACTGCTGAGAAAAAAATTCCATAAAACCATATCAGTTCAAGAGAAAACCAAAATGTCAAGATATTCCCCAGGTTATATCAAGCCTCGAAATGTGACTTGTTCTTCGTATTGAAATTGGGTAAACGGACGGCTTTTAATTTTTTGTTTTTGAGTGGTCGTTCGAATAAGATGCTAACCAAAACGTTTCTTTTAAAACGATTTTTTGTTTCTAGAGCCTCCATCGCCTGAGGTGTGTTACGATGGAAATCAAAAGTCCAAATATGGTTGTTGCTGGGACGGCATCACCGCTGCCACTGGACCAAACGGACAGGGATGTCCTGGTACCGAATGACAATTTCTATATTTTAAATTTCATTTAAATATTATCGTTACAAAAACCTTTCCTTTAAATAACCATGAATCAAATATAATTCTGCGACTACAAACAGCTTAAACAGCAACATTAAATCCCTGAGTTAGAGCAATTCCCCTTTGAAAAAGATATCCCAACCAGACTTTGTGGTTTAAAACGGGTGCAACTAATGGATATAGAAATATTATTAAAGAAATGAGTTCATATAATCTTTTAGTTAAAACATTGAAACTCTACGGCATCATCTCATACTCCTCCCTATTTGAGATTGCAGATTTTCATGTAATTCATCTAAAAAAAGTAAAAAGCTTATACGATCTAAACTGCTTCTTCTTAATCTATATTTTACGAGTATCCATCATGAATAAATAATATCAGTAGAGAAGGGGGTCATCTCACTCGTTTCAGAGAGAATGACAATTTACCTCGTTGGCAAGATCCAACCCCAGTATAGCTCCACCGTCAGTGTGCGCGCGCTACTCACGACTGAAAGTTTTAAACAGAATTGATGCGTAATGAAATAGAACAGATGCGTTTTGAAAAATCCTTAACTAGCATTTAGTGATAGCTATGTAATAATTGTGTCATTGCGCTCAATTCACCAGTGCTAACGCGGAGTAAAGTATAACTTGCACATCGATCTGTCACTAATTCTAACTTGATGTTTCTCACAGCCTGCGAAAACAGGAAGAATGGAAGATATTGTTCGTTAAGGAAAGATTTGTGCTTCACAAAGAGAAACCATAAATTACTCAGAGAGAACTGCCCTGAGATATGTGGCTACTGCAAAGGTAAGTTTAGCTTTTTCAGTTAAAAAAAAAGCGTAAATGGGATGTTTGCAGTTTTTATAATTTGGCGTACCTCTCGGTATTAGTGAGAAAAGGGCTGCATTGCTATAGGATGACACTAAATTAAACGAAATGACGCACGGTATTTTTACAGTTGTGTCAGACATTACAAATCACGTGCGCTGCGTTTTAAATTGCAAACAACAGTATTTCCTGGTAATCACAGGCACACAAAAGTCAACTCGATAATTTGCGACCTTGGTGATGGCGATCTTGGTGATGGCGCTTGCGCACAAAGTGAGTCAGACTAAAGCCTGGTTCACATATAATCGCAGACGATCGCAGGCGATCGCACGATCGCTGAAACCACTTAACCGAAGATTGCGAACCGCATGTTCACATATGATCGCAGCCGATCGCAGCGATCTATGACAACCGAGTCCATGGTTTACCATTCAGCGGCAATACAATGTAACTCCAGTCAACCAACCAACATAAACGCAAAGGACGCTGAACTTTTATTTATGTTAACATTCTGCTTCTGTTGTCTTTACTTAAACGGAGAACCGCTGCCAGATCAAAGAAGTAACGTCGCTTCTTGGTGCAGGAAGTCTTAAGAAAGAGCGAATTCTTTGCTAAAGCGATTTAACAAACAATCGTATTTTCTAATTTCTTCCATAAACTGTTCTGTGTCAATTTCACCTTTCATCTTGTCAAAACACACGCACGTGTAAAAGTTGACCAATAACTGGTTGTCATGGTATAATGCCGCCTGCATAGCATTATTGGACACATTCCAATCACATGATCGCATAACTTTGTTCAAATATGATCGCAAACGATCGCAGACGATCGCACTCGATCGCACACGATCGCAGAGCTGTTCACATATAATCACAGACCGTGATCGCTGGTGATCGAGTGCGATCGCCTGCGATCGTGTGCGATCATATGTGAACCAGGCTTTAAGAAAGGTCAAGTCATCAGTCATTGCGATAATTTAGCTCATCAGGTAATAGTCAATACTAAGATAGCATTACTGAGCTAAAATAATGAACTCACGGCAAGCACCCCTCTCCCACTATGTGCGTCACTTGAAGTTTAAAACTTTCCACTGTGTTTTTCAGAGGCGTCTTATCCTTGCATGGAGGATTCTGGAGTTTGCGAACGTGAGTGAGATGTTTTTCTCCTTTACTCAATTCGTTCATGAGCATGTAAACTAAACATAACTGAATCTTAATTTGTTTTTCGTTTGTAGATGACTGTTATGATGTTGAGCCTCAACAGCTGTGCGAACGACGCAAGAAGAAAGGGTACTGCGCAGTGAAAGGATGGAAGAGCTACCTACAGAAAAACTGTGCATTTACATGTGGCTTCTGTGGTAAGAATATCAGATTTTTGTTTGAAATCGATGGACCTTTCTGCAAAGTGGCGCCCAAAGCTGCCAATGCATCATCATAGTAGCTTGGATGTATCTCAGAGGGGTTAGGTTTAGAAAGCCAAATTCAGCGCCGCACAAAGACATGGAAGAAATGCGGACCTCATTTTGTCGGTCTTTATGTATAATACATCAACTACCATAATCGTTTGCACGCTTCTTTCCTCTAATTAGGGTCAAACATGGCTAAGAATTGGACAGTCTTTCGCCAACCATTGTCCCCTTAACCTGTTACGGACCTTGCTAAGTTTTAGACTAACTCCAATCCAGAGTTTAAATTTTCCTGAAAATTTCAATCGCATTTTCATGTTAACTGCGTAAAGAGCCTCTCGGTTTGTAAAGGGGCTGATCTCTGTAGAAATATGACTGAGGTTGAAATAAGAAAAGTCAGTCCAGCAAGCCTTTATGTTAGAAAGTAACTGGCCTCTATTCAAGACATGCACTTAAAAGAGCTGGTTACAGTATCACTGCGTTTCACAGACTGTCCCTTTCACTCGGCTCTTCGCATTCCCACCAATTAATATCACGTGGATGTTCGTTTTTATGTTCCTACGGGCGCATTGAACCGACAGTATAAGGCGACTTGAGTAACATAAGGTGAACATTGAAGATAACCCCGAAGTAGCAAAATAAACATGCGCATTAATAAAAAATAACAAATAAAGAAGTGCTAAGGGACTGCTGTAGTCACATCCTGCACTTAGAAAATAAAACGTTGAGTATTTTGAGCGATCTCTTGCTTGGGCTTATCTACTTACTTTCCCTTCCTCTTTCCAGGTGATGGCAATCAAGAAATGATCACTAGAATGCTCTACACTGATTGAAGACATCACATTTAGCAATGACTCAGCCAATTTAAAAACCTCCTCTAAAAAAGGGGGCTTTTTTTATAACTTTTCTGTCTTAGCCGTTGCCAACAAGCTTGTCTGAGGCTGCACAGCCAAAAACATGTCAAATTTTCTAAATTTATCCATTAGGAGTCTGCAATCTCAAAACCACTTTGCTACCCTCTAAAATTTTGAGTCAATAAACTATCAGATGGAAGTGTGTATCTGTTTGCATTGCACTGATTTCTTCTCCAAAGTAAAATCTAAAGGTGAGTTTGGATGTTGTGCCCTCTATTGTCACTCTAATGTATGTGCGTGACATTGAAGCATGTGAGAGGTCAAACACCAAACACCGTATTACCCAGTGAGTGTAAAGCTCACCAATACACTCACAGACTTTTAAAAGTGGCAAGGTTCTAATTAGAAAAATATATTAAGTAGCAGAAGGAAATTATGAATGACAGGAATGTATACATGGAGGGCACAAAGGTTCCATGTCTGAATAAAAAACATGTCAGGCCATAATATGCTAGTGGGAGAGTTCTCCACCCTTTCTTGCCTGATAAAAAAAAAAAACCCTGAGATGAGAATGTTAGACACAATCCATGGGTGCTGGTTAATAAAGACTATAGTCAAAGAACTTGCTTATTATTTCTCCTAACCAGAAAATCCCCAGATATTATTATAACATAACTAAAGTAAAGCGCACGTTCTGATTGGTCAATTTAGCGTCCCCCATTTGCCCATGGGTGTACGCTGCTGACGTGAGCAAATGTAAAGACTATTTTTCCGCGCGCACTTGTTTTTTCTGGTCACGTTTTATTTGTTAAATAAAAGGGAACTCTTTAGCTACAATGTATCAATGTTATGTAATAAAACAAATGGTAAACACCACAGCGTACACTATTGAGTTATGGATGCACTTGGGAGGTTTGCTAAGCACTCAAGAAGCTAGAGTCGCTCTCGGCTATCGCCTCGAGCGACTCTTACGCTTCTTTCGTGCTTAGCAACCTCCAGCGTGCATCCATAACTCAATAGTGTACGCTGTGGTGTTTACCATTTGTTTGACCGTGTAAAATCGAAGCAAAAAATAAGTGAAAGCTATTAATATTTTTCTGGTATGTTTTTCTTGCCATTTAAAAGCAGAGCGGGCATGAATACAATGAAAAAAGCACAATAAAACATAAAAAGAAACACCAATAACATCTTCCAGAAGGTGTTACTACTACATTGTGAATCGTTTCTCCTAATACATTAAAATTATTATTAAATAATTAATATATCAGGATATTTAATTACATATCTAATATAATAATATATATTATAATATGGTTCTTGCAAAAGCCTTAAAATTTGACCAATTCCCAAAAACTTATGTTCGACCAAATCCCAAAAACTTATACCAAGGGTTATTAATTGACCAAGGGTGATTTGCCACATTTACATATTAAAGGTTAATCTTTGCTGTAAAATAAACACATTCAGCATACTTGGGTTTAAATAAAGACCTCGAATCCAAATTCATACATAGTTTGGTTGGGTGGCTTGTTTAATTTTGTATACATGTTGATAACTTTGAGGATTTGCTGTAAAACGCCCTCTTGAAATGAGAGCAAACTCAACTCGTAGTGGGGTTTGCATCTCATTTCGTTTGCTTCTACCGAGGTCGTCGGTACAAGCCGAACGCAGTGAGGTCTGTAACCAGCGACCGAGGTCAAGATTCTCCCATACAGACTGACTTAGCTCGGTTAATAAGGTGTTTATTTCATGGCTGTGTCTAGAAAGTAACGGAACATTATATTTTTGTAACTTTTTTTTCTAGACCGGTCTAGATGTAGGTCTAGATGGGAAAATCTAGACCGCTTTCAATGTTGATTTTAGCCAATCAAATTCGTGAATTCAGTAGTTCCCAGTCCTTATGAGACACAGCCATAAAATAATTGATGTTTAAAAACAGTGGGAAACCTCGTTTTCGTGCTCTCGGCCCAATTCCTTGCTTCAAAACTTTTCGGGGGGGGGGAGGAGAGCGGGGGCAGTCAGAGTGTTGGTCTTACCACAACTAAAGGCAATTTTTATCATAACGTTTTGCATAACTAATTTATGAATGACCAATGATTGCCAACGCTAGAAAGGCTAGTTTTGTTTGCTCACGACGTGACAACAAGAATAACAGTTCGACTTCCTTGATTTTAACCCTGCGAGTTCGAATTGAGAGTACAAGATCGAGGTTAATTTGGGACACTGATTTCCTCACCAAAATTCTTCAGTTCTTCAATGAACTCTTCTTTGAAAGCCTCCAGACAGCGATAGTCATAACAAACTCAACTATACTTTTCAGGGAGACTAAAGCTATAATGAAGTAGATGCTTGTAATTACCGTGACTTTGCAGGAATTACATAAGCAAATGTGTAAGAAGTAAAAGATAAAAAGCTTTTGATGGAGGTGCCAAGCCGAATACACCTGTGTCGTTTTTTAATAAGAGTTTATTCCAAAGTATTGAGGTGGTTTCCAATATAAGGCAATGAATAGTAACTGATAAACAAAATGAGTCAGCAATTACTGACATTTTTAATTTCCATGGGTAATAAATGCAAGAGAACTGACGACAACTTTTAAAACATAAATTTCAAGAAATGTTGGTTATCAGAAGAGTGAACTGCACTATCAACAACACTCTTATTCCTCAATCATTCCACATGATAGTCCCTTCAGTGTCATAAATAGTAACTCGTAGCGCATAATCTTACATCCTTATGGAAAACAATATTTTAATTTTAAATTCAAACGCACGCAGCTGTAACAGTGATTATGTCATTCTAGAATAAAACCGGAAAATAGTGTTTGTCATTAGCCACACCAAACGGCTTTACATCGAAAGAGGCAGTGTTCCAAATCAACCACGAAAAATTTTAACGCCGTCGCTTAAAATGTCTAACATCTGGCTAACAGCAAAAGCATCTATCAGAGATAGAATCAAGTTTGTTTTCAACAACGATCTTCTCAGCGATGTGAAGTTTATTGTTTGGGACACGGATGGCGAAAGCCGGAAACGAGTGATCCCCGGTCATAAGTTTGTTTTGTCAATAAGCAGCCCGGTTTTTGAAGCCATGTTTTACGGTGACATGGCGGAGACTGGAGGCTCTATTGAACTACCGGACTGTGAGTACACGAGTTTGTTGGAGTTGTTTCGTTACATCTACAGCGATGAAGTGTTTTTAAGCGAGGGCAATGTTTTGGGAGTGTTGTATTTAGCGAAGAAATATATGGTGCCCTCCCTGGCTGACAAATGCACGAATTACCTACAAGATAAGTTGGATGTTTCGAACGTTTTCCGTATCCTGCCAATCGTCGAAAAGTTCCAAGAAGGTAAATTGGTTAATTGGTGTTGGAATGTAGTCGATGAACAGGCAAGAGATGCATTAAAATCGGATAGTTTTATGACAATTGAACGGTCGTTGCTAGAAGCAATAGTCAGCCGTGACACACTGAATATTAAAGAGGTGGACTTGTTCAAAGCTGTGGATTTGTGGGCAACAAGGAATTGCAGAGAAAATGGTTCACCAGCCGATGGAGGTCAGAAAAGAAGAACACTTGGTGAACAAGTTGTAAAAGCAATCCGTTTCCCAATAATGAAGCAGAATGAATTCGCTGATGTTGTTCTTAACACGAAGATATTGACACAGGAGGAAGTTTTTGATATTTCTAAGTATTTCAATCGTGTGAGTAGAGCCTCAGTTGGATTTCCTCTAAAAGAAAGACTTGTGTACTTGGATTGTTGTAGATTTAGAGACTTTGAAACGGCTGGCTCAGGCCACCATTATACTCTCGGTAAATCAGACTGTCTTCTTTTCACGGTCGACAAAGACATCTTCTTACTTGGAGTAAGACTGTGCGGAAGTGAAAATCATAGTAATGAATATTCTGTGACTATCAGCATAAAGAATTTAGAAAAATGCTCGTATCTAAATTCGGTATCTGGAATTTTTTCCTCGGTGCTTACTAAGTTAGAACCACATTCATTTTATGGCTTCAAGATTCTTTTTGCCGATCCAGTTGTCATAAAGAAGGGCGTTAAATATCGTATTGAAGCTGCAATCTCTGGTGCTAATTCTTGTTTTGGCATGAATGGTCAACTTTCTGTGGTTTGTTGTGGGGTTAAATTTGATTTTCAAGACAGCACGTGGAGTAGAAATGGAACAAAAGTTGGACAAGGGCAGTTTCCATCTTTTATCTTTAAGGAAATTTGAATCCATAGCCAATATTAAGTATGCAAACAACTTACAAGTAACAAACAAGTTACACCGGACAAGAGATTTATTTTATAAATCGTTTACGATCTCTTGCTCTTAAACATGATTTTTCTGTTCCAATTTGTGATGTATCAAAAACAATGGTGCTTAGATCAATTATTCCTGACTATTCTACGAATTTTGTTGAAAAGTCGTGGCTTTTCTCAAGTTTGGCAAAACATTCCTCCCTGATCTTCTTTTGACTCTCTAGCACCACTAGGAAATTTCTTGTTATGCGAGTCAAAGACGGGTTCATAGTCTACCAAAAGCATGTTAATATTTCGTAAAAGAGTAATTTCTGAGTTAAAGATACAGTTACTGAAAGCGCATAAGTGTTTATTTTACGTATGACTTCTCTATTCAGGTGTAAATTTCGGGGTCACGGGATAACTAGTTAATTTATAAGTACAGGTGAACTGGTAGCAAAGGTTCATTGAAATGTTTTACAATACCTTGTAAAACACTGGTAAGGATAGAATCAATTGCATGGTAGTTCATTTAAACTGAAAAATGTCACCATAATGGACGATCAGTCAGTATTCAGGTATAATATCCACGAAAAAAATACCTGGAACGAACACGTCATTGTATTTTGTAATAAAATCATTTTTCTTGACGTGTAAAGTTTTAGCTCATCACAAAGTGATTGCAGAGTACATTTTCCAAAGCGAAATTAATACATTGTTACCCTCTTAGAAGTTTTGCTTTTGCTTTTGGTGTTGTTGTTGTACATATTTTTTATTTTCCAAATAACGTAACACTGCCCGTGTTTTTTTCGTTATTACAAACTAACCAACTTGATTTGATGTTTGATATTTCGTCTGATGAAAACAGGATTATCGAAGAAAACTAAAAAACCATAAGATAACTGATGTGTCCCTGAATTAATGAGCGAAGAAGGAAAGTTTCCTGATATGAATTTTAAAGTTTCATTTGATACGTTGATCTCTAAATCTATCACACATATATTATAAATTATTATAAATATTTTATTTTCATTTTTAAAGAGCTTTACTCTACATAAGAAGACGTCTTTGTTCATTTAGAAAATAAGATTCCCTTTTACCAGACACATAAAAGTGGCCTGAACCAGCTCAGTGCACAGATCCAAATCTGCAAAAAAAAAAATAAAAAAATTAAAATGATGATGCGTTTTTTCTCGAGAAACCCCATTGGGGTGCCCAACACTGAGGCCTCGCCTGTTGTTAGTGTCTTGCGGTCAAGAACAACCGCACCATATTCATGCTGCTTCATCACTGAGAAACGAATTGCTTCAACAATATTCTCTCCAAACATTTCCCTTTTCCACTGCCATGATCTGGAGTCAAGCCTTCTTCCTCACATTTCCTCGTCGCCCAAAATTTCACAACTTTTAACAACTCCACCTCTTCAATATTCAGTGTGTCACGTTTGA